CGCCCCCGACGCCCCTCCGGGCGCCGGGGGGCCGCAGCGGCGAGCGCGCCTGCCTCGGCCTGCCGGGCGGCGCTGCCCGGCCCGGGCGCGGGGAGGCCCCGGGCAGCCCGCGCTTGTTAAAACCCTCCAGAAACAGCGGCGGTGCCTCGGGCTTCGCCCGCTCCCTGCGGGCGCGTCAAAGGTAACAAATGTTGTTTTCCTCTTTGGAAAGAGGCGCGGAGTTATCCCCGCCTTGCTCCTCGGCCGTTGACATGCTGCATTGCCTCAAACTGTATTTTTATGAACCGTGCCCGAGTTGCGAGGCAGCAGCGTTCCTGCCCCACGCTGGGGGAACGACGGAAACGTTGGCATCGCAGCCTCGCCGGCATGGGCCGGTGCAGGAGCTTGTTGCAGACTGCAGAGCTTCCCGAACCAGCTGTGAAACGGGCTGCAAAATGGGTCCTTTTGCGTTATATTGCTATATACCCAAGCCTATTTGCTCTCAGACCTGAACAGAGGATCCTGGCAACGAGGAAATGGTACTCGCTTTGGCCTCTTGTGTCTGCAGGTGCATGTTGTTAATTCAGGGAGTTGGGGCACCTGCTGTCGCTGGACTACATGTTTATTGCAGTTACAGACTGGTTAGGGAGAAGAATAAATGTGAATACTGTGGCTCCATCAATAAAGACAGTAAAGGAACTGCCATGCATTAGACAGAGAGTTTAGAGGCGGGGGTGATATCTCCGGGGGACTGATTATTAACGTCTTAGAAGTGTTTCGTAGAAGTTGTGTACTCTGTTGAAATGAATGGATAAACATGGCAGAAGCCAAAAAGTTGCCTGTTGTGATTGTGACAGTGCTGGGGTAATCCTGACATTTTTCCAAAATGTCCCAAACGCAAGCAAGAGAACGGGGGAAAATTAAAACTTTTGGGGAAAGAGGGAAGACATTAATGGAAGGAAACAAAAAAAGTCCCCTTGTTTAGAGAAATTGGGCTCTGACATTAAAAGCGCTATAAGCTCTTTTTTTGGTCTGTAAAGATTACCTTAAATTCAAGGAGAATATCAGGGGATGCCATATTTCAAGATCAGGTTTACTGATAAAGATTTACATGCATGACATTTTATCATTTTGAGTTGTCATTGTGGTGGTACAGACTTAATTTGACATTTAATAAGGATGCCTGTGTTTCCAACATAATACTTTCTTAAATGTATGATAGATAGTGGTGTGGTTTTAAATCTGTTTAAACAGATTAACTTAATTTAGTATTTCAGTCAGCGTAAGTGTATCAATGCAGACACTAAAATTTCACCTGTCATAAAATATGAACTTCATGTTACTTCTGTTGTGTGTGCAGCAACAGATTTTTAAGTGTTTTGTGATTGTTATAGAAGTTTAATATTCTTTGTGGATTTTGGTATAATTCTTGCACTAAAAATACTACATGTTCTATCTGTTAAGACTTGAGATTAAGTCTTCAGCAGAAGTGGTGCACAGAATTTGATTGTTGTGGGTTGTCAAAGCCAATTTGTATATTCTCCTAACTTTAGGTGAGTTTTTCTTATATAAATCAAATATAATGACAGTAACATTTGCTAATACGTAAAATGGTAAATATATGTGAGTGGTAGAAACAGGAATTGGTGCTTTTGCCTGCCCTAAACTGCCGTGGTTTTCAGTGCTTGACTAATACGAGTGTACTTTCTTTGAGCTCGTTGTGCGGAGGTTAAAATGCAGCCCTGATCAGTGGGCTAAAGAGCATGGCTTCTTTTCGGTCCCTCCTGAATAGTCCCACTTGTTCAAAGAAGCATGGTAATATCTAGAATCTGTAAGGAAGTTGCAGCGTTCTTGTCTTAACTCATTTTCCTATCTGTAAAATGGGGAAAATTCAGTGTCTTGTGTCATAGACTGGTCAGAAGAATAAATCCTTTCATATTTCTGAAGCACTTGGATACTACCTTCCTGGAGACCACATGACTGTCAAGAAGATTCATGCTTGCATTGGGTTGCTTCTACGTTCAGAAGTTTGGTAGTTCTAAAATACGTTACATGCATTTGTTTGTGGCTATTTGGGAAAAAAAAATCCTATATTGCTTAGTTTGATTTCAGCATTCAGTGAATGCAATGCAATTAGTCTGTCAGTATTCTGTGTCTTCATAGTGTTGAATTGCTAAGGTCTTAATTTTAGAAAAGGTTCTCTTCTTCATGAGTATGGCTAGGTTTTCATTCTTTTGCATGTGTAAGAATTTTTCTAAAATGAGATGCATCCTCTATGTTTTACCTGTAAGCATGCCCTACGAGTTTCACAAGCTCATGGAGTCAGAGGATTTTAGAACCAATACTTATTTTTATTAACTGCAGAGTTTTTACATTCTTGAAGTATTAATCTGATTTGCCCTCCAAAGGCAAAAATATATAATAATTCTTGGAGCCTTGTTAGTCAAAATAAAAGACTTACTTGCTAACACAATCAATTATGAACTTCAAAAGCAGTTGGTAACTGAGTTGTATCAAAGCCCATGTGATATTGAGTAATGTCTTGATGGAGATATGACTGTATATGGTTTTTAAGGGAGAGTTACTAAGAAGTAGGAAAGGAGACTTACAAACACAGAAGTTAACTGGAGATACATACTCACTAAAATCAACAGTAACGCGTAATTGTATGAAAAACTGCTTTAAACTTTTCTTGTACTTGAAATGCAGGCTGTTGAACTGAGGACTTTATAGACTTCTTTAATTACAGCATTTTATATGGAGGAAAATGACATAAATGTGGTTTATTGTGACCTTTGCTGTAAATCATGACCTTTGCTGTAAAAAGACAGGAAAGAAAGCTGCTACAGGTTTTCTGCTGTAATTCTCAAATCAATAATTACTTTTTCTTTTTTTTTTTTTAATATACAGAATGTCAGTGGCTGCTTACTGTATATTTTGCTATAGACAAATAGGAACTTCTGGTCCAGCCACAAAAACACACCTACCATGGAATGATATCAGTAAGTACAGTTCTGTGTGTATTGCTCTGAGGTGTTAATAAAAAGGAAAAATCTGTGTTGGTCTGATGCCATGCGTAATTAAATGATACAGAAGATCTAAATATTTAAATACTTTGTGATCTGAATACCTGAATACTTTGTGATCAAAAGCTTTTACTTGCCTAAAGTGGGTGTCTGCTTCTGACCTTGCTTTGCATAGTGATATGTAAAATGACACCAGCAGATTATCTGGGATTAGAAAGAAGATGAAGGTCCCCCTCCCAGATGCAATCTCATTAAACTATGTTAAACTCCGTTTTGTGTCTGATTTTTTTTTTTAAACTTCTAGAGCCATGAAACAATTACATTCATAAAGTTTGAATAAAGTTTTTTTTTCTATTGTTTCTTCCTCCTCATTTACTGATCTGCAATCTTCCCTGCTTAGTCTCTGGTTTCTTTGGTGCCTTCCATATAGAATGACACTTCTTACAATTCCAAAGTTTATTTTTGAGCATTAAAAGATAGATGGGATATTTCTGTTTCTGCTCTACAGGAAGCATTGCATTTTTTTGCCTTTCCAACCTTCTCTACCAGTTATTTCTTCAACATGTAGCTGCCTCTTGTCTACATGCCAAAATTCTTACGGTCTCGCAAAGACAGAACCTGGTGGCAGTCTCCCAATTCATGCTGAGGAAAAGAAATAATTTGTGATAGATGAGATGTGTTCCATTGGGTTTGCTGTTACTGGTAATAACAGAGTTTCTCTGTATTGAGATCCTTACGTCCAGGTAATCACCTCAACTTTGTCCAGAAAAAATAGCTCAAATCTGACAGGAATCCTTAGACTCAAAAGGAAAATTGTTGCAAGAGGCATGTGTTTATGCAGCTATTTGCTTTATAAATTAGATTCAATGGAATTATTTTTAAAATATTTTTTCCTAGGGAGTTTCTGCAGGACTTTTCAAAGAATACACATACTCCTGTATGTATTCATGTGCATTGAAGAAATATCCACACCACGTAAGAAAAAGTTAACTCCTTAAAATAATCTGGAGTTCCAAACGAATGCTAGTGATGCAGGCAGAGAAAGTTTACTGTTGATTCCTGCAGCTGAGCGATGAATGTAATTGATAGGTAGCAATACACAAAGTAAATAGCACTGGCAGGATACATGTTTTATCATCTTGCTTAGGAGAGCAGGAAATTCTAATCAAGTAATGTTTTCTCTGTTTGTAGATTTAGGTAATGATTTTCTGAAAGCCAGAGAGCAATAGAAAAATTTGAAAAAGCTTACTCTTAATGGCTGAAATTCTTACTGTCTGGTAATCAAATGCTAACTATGGTTATATTGAGGTGATGCACACAACTTTGACATGAATTTTTCATTTTTTCAAGGAAAAGTTGCAAAACTAACTGGATCACTTATACTAGGGTAAGTGGTAACTGACAAGCATATATGTAACTTACGTATACAGTTAAAATTTTAATTTGCGTATCTTTCAAAAAATGTGACGATATTAGTGGACCTTTAGACATGATAGAATATAGTTTTGAAGCATATTTTCTGATAGTTATTTACTTATTTTAAGTATTTTAGAATCTTTTCACTACTTTGCTAAATTAAAATAATCTGCAGACTATTATAGATTTGATAAAATCTGGCTGATTGATACCAAAATGATTGTTAACATATTTTTGCCATCATAATTTTAAAATTAATATTCATATGCAGTTTTCTTTTATTTAAAGAGGTTTTGTATTCATTACATATGAAGTCCTGTCCTTAAAGAAGTTACTGCAAATCGATACTGAAGCTATACATCAAGAAAAACTTAAATCCTATGTATACATACGTACAGCTTCTCTAAATCCAAGTGAATATCAAGGTAAGATGCAGAATTGTTTGGATTCTAAAAACAGAATTTTAAGAGAATAGAATGTTTCTGGAAGTCACCCTTGTATAAGGAAAGATATATTTCCTGAGATCTGTTACAAAAATAGTATTCTTCGCAATGTCACCAAATTTATTTTAAGCTGGTGGATGTTTTTTTTAAGATAGTTCTATACATACAGTTCTCTATATATGAGATAATTATATATATGTCCATATATATGTACATGTGTGTCTGTATATATTTCATGTATATATCATAGAATCACAGAATACCAGGTTGGAAGGACCTCAAGGATCATCTGGTCCAATCTTTCTTGGCAAAAGCACAGTCTAGACAAGATGGCCCAGCACCCTGTCCAGACGAATCCTAAAAATGTCCCATGTTGGGGAATCCACCACTTCCCTGGGCAGATTATTCCAATGTCTGATTGTTCTCATTGTGAAAAATCTTCCTCTTGTGTCCAAGCAGAATCTCCCCAGGATTAACTTGTACCCATTACCCCTCGTCTTTTCCATAAGACTCCTTGTAAAAAGGGAGTTTCCATCTTCTTTGTAGCCACCCTTTAAATACTGGAACATGGTGATAAAGTCTCCAGTAAGCCTTCTTTTCTCAAGGCTGAACACACCCAGCTCTCTGTCTTTCCTCATACAGCAGGCTTTCCAGTCCTTTGGTCATCTTGATGGTCCTTCTCTGGACCCTCTCCAGTCTGTCCACATCTTTTTTGCATAGCGGGGACCAAAACTGAACACAGTATTCCAGGTGTGGCCTGACAAGCGCTGAATGGAGTGGGATCATGACTTCTTTATCTCTGCTGGTGATGCCCTTGTTGATGCAACCCAGCATCCTGTTGGCTTTCTTTGCAGCAGCAGCACACTGTTCACTCATATTGAGCCTGTTGTTCACCAGGACCCCCAGGTCCCTTTCCACAGAGCTGCTCCCCAGCTGGGTAGATCCCAGCCTGTGCTGCACTCCTGGGTACTCTTGTTTTTGTATATATACACACACACACACACGTGTGTGTATATATATATATATATATATATGAGAAAAATAATGTAATAGAACTGTCTTTCAGACTTCCAGTAATCTAAAAATGCTCTTATAGGGATCACATACCAAGCCAGAAAAGAAATCCATAAAGCTGTGAGGAAAATTCTAGAAACAGAAGCTAAAATTTTCCGGAGACCTTTTAACGGTAGGTATTGAAACCATGGCTTTATCTATGATTATTATTTTTGAATAGTAAAACATAAGCCTTTTAGAAAGTAAAATAATTTTTCTTACAAGGTTAATGTGTTCTTTTGTGTTCGAAACGGTGGTAATATTACTATAATTTTCTGTATTAATGTAGAGTATTAGTATCTTTTCTATGTATTAAAACCATTCCTTTTCTTAAAGTAAATGAAAGTGATGGTTAAGAAGAGATTTGAGATTTTTTTTTTTCCTGTTTCAGAAGAGATTTGAAGCTTAAGATACTAGGTTAATATTTTATACCAGTTTTTTGTACAAAAGGTGTTTGGGGGATGAAATACTCTAAAAATCTCACTTTAGAAAAGTATGTTATGCTTTCATCAGAATTGCCAATATTAACTGAAAGCAGCACAGTCTTTTTGTAATTGTGTGTCACTGCTTTTTAGAGTAATTTAAAATAAGAATTTCAATTCATATAAGAAACTGTGCTCCTAGGCCATCCTATCTGTTCTCATTTAACTGTCTGTTAAATGGTTATAACAATATGTACCTCCACTGTGGTGGTATGAAATTAAGTATTCAGGGTCAGAGCTTCAAGAGTTGCTAATCATTTCCAGCTCCTGCTGGAAGCTGGCAATTTTAGTTGGGAAGTGCCAGCCAGGGTGTGTATGTCTAACATATATATGAAATATCAACTTGTTGCCACTAAAATGAGTCAAAATCATCCCATTAATTTAAGGATCAGGATTTTGCTAATGCCATTCTGTCATTGTATATTGTACTAATTCAATATTAAAACATTACACTCTAAATTACTGTTGGCGACTAGTATTCAAATATCAAAATAAACAGGGTTGGTTGGTTGGTTTTTTTACTCAGTGAATAGAAACTGACTGTTAAAATGCTCATTAATAATAACTTGGCTTTCATTTGTTTCCTGGTAAAAGAACAATTCAGTACATTTGATGGAGAAGATCATGAATGTGCCTTATGGCTCCTCTTAAAGAGGAGTCAGTCAGAAGACAAAGAGGTCCGACTGCAGGCTGTACAAGACCTGGCAAGCAACAGTCACTGGCATGGTAATGTATGCTGGTGTAGCCTAATTCATCCCAGAAACATGACAAAGTCTCAGTTAGCTGTTGCAAGTCTGCTGCCAACGTGAAAAAAGGCTAGTAGCTGCAAGGAGTGTAAATACACTCTGAAATTTGATCTAAAATGTGGGTGGGTTATTTACATTTCAAGTAATTCTTCTTTCCTAATACTCTGATACAGAGTGTGTACCTGCAGTGCAGGCCCCTCTCTTGTTTCCCCACCAGAGATTTGTAGCCACTGCCATCATGGGGGAGAGCAGCTCATGGTGATTAGTTCCTTAGCTTTTCTGTTGGAACTGCTAACAAGGTCACTAGTTCTGGCAGTGATTTTTATCGGGCTCTGTAGGGGAGTGGGTTTAAGACCATAGTTCAGTTAATAAAAATTGGTTAGGAACTAATAGATAGTAATGACAAACTAGAGATAGAGGACTTGTATGTGTAAGCATTATTTGTAAGACATTTTCCATCCTAGTTATTATTTGGTAGTAATAAGCCCTCCCTGTTCCTCCAGCAGTGAATATCCTTGAAACCCCAAGTAAAGGGGGAGGAGGGATGTGTATGTGTGTCCTCCTTCCCCCTCCATCACTAGTCCATATAAACTAGGTGACACTCTAATCTTGACTCTTGTTATTCTGGTAATCCAGTCAGTTGAGGACCTTTCACTATTCCAGTGCAATTCCACACCATGGGATTTATCTTGTTTCACATTGCCTCTATAAAACTGTAATTAATTACTCCAAGCAGTTTACATCAAAAAGCTGTGTTTGAAAACATTTGAAAGCTAGGCTGCACCAAAACTGAAGCTGTGTGTACTAATTTAGTATGACCATCTCGTGTTTGTAGGAGAATACTGGTAACAGGTGATCTCAGTGCACAAGATGGCTAGTAGCTGGGGATCTAGTTGCTTTTTGTTTTCTCCTTTTCTCTGTAGTGCTCATTGCTGTAGTATTTGGACGTTTTGGAGACACTAATTATTCTTGCCAACTACCTCATAAGGGAAATGGGCTTTTTTTTTTTTAACCTGATATTCCAAAACTGAGTCCAAAGAAGACTGAAAACATGTGCTAACTTTTCACACCTAGGACCAAATTGTTCAGCATACCTGTTGTCGTAAATACAGTATTCTGCTTGTCCAAAGCACTGATTTGGTGACTTCAGTTTGCAGCTGTAAGTGGTCTGCACTAAAGAAAAAAGATGGACAATCTGTGACTGTATGTGAAAAGTATATTTTAGATGGCTTGTCCGTTTTGTTGTAGAATTGTATAACAGTAACAAGGACAGAAACTAATTTTTATAGAATAAGTATTGATCCACTTTGTATTTTCTTTTCCTTCAGTTTGCCACTTAATTTCAGTATGTAATTTTCAGTTTCTCCAGCTATAAAATAGGTGGGTTTTGGAAAGGAACAGTAGTTACTCTTTAAGTCTGGTTTCCCTTCAGTAGGGTAACTGAAAGTCTTGTCTTGTACCTTCAGTAAGGAAGGGCTACTTAAAACTGTACTTTGGTGCTGTCCTGCCTTTTCGGACATCACCTGATTTTGTGACTTTAACAATTTTATTGAAACACAGCTTTTGTATCATTTAAAATTAGGTGTCTATGTCTTGGCAGAATTTGGATTTAAGGCTCCAGTTTTTAATACTGTACGCAGAAAAAAATATGCGTATGCTTTTCAAATTTTAACTCAAGCCCAGGGGATTAAGCTTGGGTTTGTAGTCCTCGTACTGCTTTTGCAGTGGCAGTACTGAATGTTTGCTTTTGCTTGTGTTCAACTTATATCTGAGGACCTTTATCAAACTGCAATTTGTGCCCAGGTGTCTTCAGTTCAGTATAGGGCTGGTCTAACAATTGCAATATTTGTCTTTTGGAATTTGTGATTACAAAATCAGAGCTTATTTATGTAGATTGCAGAGAGGTGGTTCTGTTTTCAAGTATATTAACAAAGTAGATCAGAAACTACATTTAAAACCAAATGAAATATTTAAGGTTAGTTTTAACCCTAACACTGAAGTTCTTGTACTACAGATTATCAGTATGGTACAGTTGCCCAAACCTGTGATCAAAGGACCGCTATAGGTTTGGCTCGATCCAAAGACATCGACCTTCGCTTTTTTCTGCCTCCGCCACCATTGCCAAAAATAAAGAATGTAAGTAAATGAAAAGTAGGTATTAGATGATTTTTGCTTGCTTGTTTGTTTTTAGTGCTTTTGTTGTTGGTAACCATGCTAAAGTGGAGCCCTTTTAAAATAACGAACGAGTAGTAAAATTAAGACCAAAATACAAAACCGTAATGTAGTGATATACCCCTGGGGTATATCTGCATTAGTGAATGGCATAATGGAAAGAAGTAAGGATGGGGGGTTGATCAATTATTGTTCTCAGACTGTATGTCCACATTACATATTTACTAGCAGTGAAGTTTGAGTCAGTTACCAGTCTGATGCACGCACTGCCTGTCTGTATCTAATAGGCAATGCAAAGCAGTCTTATATTAAGTCATCCTAGATTGCCTTGTTGATGCTGACAGAATCCTATGCATAGAGAGTGCTCCTGGAGGCCTCTTCATCCTCACTGCTAGTGTGGTGCTCTAGATAGTGTTCTGGCACGCAGCTTTAACCTTGATTATATAAGTAGGGAAATCATTTTGAGTGCACCATGTGACTCCCAAGTGCAGATGCAATGCAGATTTGCTGCCTGGAAAAATGCCTAATCTAATCACCAACACTCACTAATGTAGACATACTCACTGTCTTTCACCAAAAATTCTGCTATCCTCTCCTTTTGACATCTTAATCTACTTATGTATGAATTTGGAAGTTATGAAAGTTTTTGGAGATGAGCTTTAGCGTTATTACTATTAACTAAGTTTTATTTAACTTCAGTTATCACAGTACTTGTTAGATTTAATTGAATAGTATTCCAACAGAAAATTCAATAAGTATGATTTCAGCTGCTGAAATGCCTTGTACCTCAATACAGTAACTGAGAATTAATCGGAGAAGCAAATATGTGACATCTGGAACAGCTTTAAGTAATCTGTCTTAAATTCCCAAATGCCTTCAGAGGTTCTGAGGTGGAGATGTGGCTCTTCCCCATTCTCTTTACATACAGTAAGATCTACCAGCCTTGTTTTCTTCATGCCTAGGCCTGCTGTAGGCCCACCTCTTCATTGCCAGCTTTTGGGTACCAACAAATACATATTGGATAAATCTGACCTTGTTTTGTTTTTATGTCAGTGAGCAAGTATATATATATATGATAGTTTGATCAATCATGTCATCATATCATCTTCTTCAATAAACAGAATGGGCACACAAAGCATAATATAAGAGGTCTTTTGTAATGCTAATAGAATGAATGCTGGCAAAGGTCCCTGTCAGAGAATACCTGTACATCTTAACCAAAAAATCTCTGAAAATCAGCTTTGATTGGTAGTGATATTCTCAGTTTGCTTTCTTATCTTTGTAACATTATGTGATAGTAGATCTGTACCTGTCAGTCCTGAAGTAGTAGGTTATGCTAGTATATGGTTCTGTATATACTTCAGTTTTACAGTGGTGTGATTGCTAGGTGATTGAAGCTAGGAGTTCCCAATCTGCTGCTTAGGAAGTTGAAGCAAATCATTGTGGCAGCAAGTGTTGCTCTGCACATCAGATATCTCTGATTGTAGCAAGGATTAGAGTAACTGCAAGTTCCATGACTGTGGGCAAATAAAATTACTTTGTTGAATCTGTTTTCCTGTCACCTACCCTGGATTATTAAACAAACATCTATAAGAATATTTTGAAGATAAAAGATTAAAAGAAATATTGTCTGTATTTTTTACTAGTAATTTATTTTTTATATTTATAATATATATTTTTAATATATATATTTTAATATATTTATTTATATATCACCAAAATTACTGTGTAACTAAGGGTGAACTTTTAAGCTTCCTGTGCCAATAGGAGCTGGGTTTTCTTTGGCTCTTCTGGACCTATTAGAATAAGGCCACCAAAGTATGAAGTTTAAATTTTACTTTTCATCACTCCGTTGGTGGTTTTGGAATTATCAGTTTCCAAAGTCTTTACAGGTGTAACTATTAAACCGAGGTTGCAGAGCACTGAAGTCCAGGGTGCATATTTTCTGATTCCATTATTTCAGATCTTTCTTTTCTCTGTGTTTTTCTTCATGCTTTGAACAGAATAAAAAGCTATTTGTGCTTACTTCTCACAGGATTATACCATAGAAGATGAACTTCGCTTGTTGTTAGTATCTTTACCTCAGACTGGTCTAGATCCATGTGTCCAGTACTTCACATCTCTTGCTTTACGTGAAAGTAGTCAGACGCTCGCTGCACAAAGGGTGAGTTCTCACCTGCAGAATAAAACTATTTTGATTCTTTGTTCCTGCAGAGCTCAACAATACAAACCTATTTCCGTATTTTTGAGCATTGTATGAGGAAGAGAAATACGGAGACTTTGTGACCATACAACATAAGTAAAATCTCTTCTGCATACAGTCTGTCTGCTTGAAAGTTTGTTTATCTCCCTAGTTGGTCGAGTGAAAAAAAATATCTTTACTTACAAGCCGTCCTGTAAAGCAGATATTTCAACGTTTTCTCCAGAACATTTCCTTTCCCTTGCAGTGCTCATAAAATGATTTTTTTTCACATTTCATCTTACCGTTGAGTGTTCTTTCACTGCTGAGGTGGTTAAACCTCTGTGAAGTCTTACTAGCAAACTGATAAGTTGTTAGCACACCTTAAATAGTAAACTCTGTTATATCACATGGAAATGCCTCCCTATAAGAGGTCACTGTTGCCAAAACCAGAATTGGAATAGTCTAGTGGTCTGTTTGGACTTGGAAACTGGGAATTCTTCAATGCTGTCTGTCTAACAACTTCTTAAGTGGCTTTAGGAATGTAATTTAAAGTGCAGTTATTGCTTAAAAATAATAATTGTAGTGGATGACGCTGGCATTATCTCTTGTGCATTTTGTTTTTTTATAGGTGATTATTATTTTTTGTAAGATACAATAATAAAAAATGACTGTCATATTTTAATAATGATGCCTGACAGGCTTTATTTAGGGATTTCAGAGTGCAATAACTCTTTATTCCCTATGACACAATTATGTGTACCATTCTTACACTATGACTCCTTTATTGTTTTCACAGCCAGAGCTCTTGCTACAAAGGGAGCTTTGGTAAGACACCGCACATGGAGGCATTTTGATAATCATGCCGTTCTAGAAAACTGTTCTTTATCGAGGTTATGTTGGTCTTCCTACTGCATGATTGAGAGACTGGTCTTCAGAGACTATGCTAAGTGCTGAAGACCTTTTTTCCTCTTCTCATTTTTGCAACTCTGGAAGTCTAGATGCAGTCTGATTCTTCCTTTTTTTATGCTTAAGCAAACTCTTAAAAGATGACATTCATTAACAAAATGAAAATCCTACATTTTCTGCCTTTATTGTATGTTTTGAAGTTAATAGACTATAGAGACTACTGACTGAAAATCTATTTAATATTTTCAGCTAAAAATAGTAGGTATTTTTATGGTGTGCTGTTGTGTAATTTGTACATTTTGAAAAATGCATGCATGCTGTGCACTCTTTATAGCAATTTCTATAGATCATTACACACTTAATGTTTTAGTTTAGAAATGCTTATTTTATGTAGCCATTTGGAATGTGGTATAATTTTTACTGATTCTCATTTCAGGGAGGCTTATGGTGTTTCGGAGGAAATGGACTTCCATATTGTGAGACATTGAGTAAAATCCCTTCAGAGACAGTGGAGCTCTTTTGCTTGCAAGCTTTAGTACAGCATTCTAAGGTAATTTGTCCTTTAAACTATAACTGAAAAGCTACATTTATAAACCTTCCTTTCCAATGTGCTCTCATACATGGGGAAGGAGTTGTCATTTCCTTGTTTCCTACCCCTCACCCCATCAGTAAGGATGTTCAGACAACTGAGACTGAAGGCAGCATACCAAACTCATTTTTTCATGAGGGAAGTGTATGTAAGTTCTGTTTTTGTTTCTAATTAGCCCACATAAGTTCCCCTATACTACACCTGTATATATCTTTCAGGAAGTAAAAGGGCAGCTCTGACACAGAAAAGCAGGAGAGAGTGCCTGAAGTCCAGATGGCTTTAACAAGTCTTTTGTGTAAGGCTCCGTCCCACTGGCACTCAAAGTCATTGGAGATAGGTATCATAAGGAAACGGTGTTTCCACTCTGCAGGTTTTCAGTAAGCAAGATACTGATGACGTGAAATTCTCAGTGCAAAGTGTGTGTGGATTTGTGTGAGCTAGTGTACATCATCAGTTCAGAAAGCTTACAAGCAGTGTCGTCTTGTAGTTCTTCATGTAACTCTAGTGCCAGGTTTCCAGAAAGTGAAGTAGCCTCATGAATTCACTCTAATCAGAAGCCAGAACAGAATGCAATCCTTGGCTATTCACAAAGGTCCCTCCTTTAAGGGTCTCTGCCTTTGGGCAGAATAGTGCACAGCATGCAGCTGATACAGTGTACTCCCAGGACCAGTCTGTTCTTTGCAGACACAGATGAAGAGTATGGAAGATTTTGTGTAACAATGATTCTTCTTGATTCCTATTGCTGCACTCTTCAGTGTGCACAAGCCTAGAACACTGAGAAACAGCGTTGAGAATACCAAATTGTTATTGGTAGTATGAATGGATAAAGTGCAGTGTGTCCTTTCACATCTTCCATACACATAGAAATTCTGACTTAGTCTACAATTTGTTACATTCCAGATTTTCAGTTTAAAAAAGTTGTGACTGTACTCATTCTGAATGTGTGTCTGTCTTTGTTGAAAGCCACAGACTTGAGGACATCAGCAATTCCATAACTATCACACATTTTTAAGCACTGTAGACAACATTTTCAAGTCATAAGCATTTGGCCAATACCAGTAGTTGACACTACAATGAATTAGTGCATATTCATCTGCTTGGACTAGAATCTGTTGTTGCCCTTAAGATCAATAATGATAGCAGTACTATTGCTACACTAGGAGTGTAGCAATACCTTTGCATTTCAAAGAGAAGGGATTCTAATGATTGCAGTTTAGGTGGTGAACAGGAAGACAAGTATTTCTGGTTGAGACAGTGCTTTAACAAATGCAGACAATTGTCCTGTTCAGACTCTTGAACTTTAGCTGAAATTTGATCACGCCAAGTGGAGAGCAATCTTCTCTCCCTCAGATATGGAGGAGAGTAGAGTGATGGTACTTAGCATCTTTCAGGTTGTCAATGCATACAAATAATGCATTTAGCATATTAAAATATTTACTTCCTTTGCAACTATGGCATAATAAATTCTAGATTAATAAGAATTTCTGTGTAATAAGGGTTCTGCATCATTATTGGGTCCTTAAAATTCCCTAATTTGTGAATTAACAGCATCTCAAAGAACTTTTTGCAGAACATCTACTTATTGTCATTGTATTTACTGTATACTGGTAGGTTTCTTCTCACTGTGACAAAATTGAAGCTAAAGGAGGCCTTCAGCTACTACAAAGGATATACCAGCTACGTAAAGATTCAGCAAAAATACAAAGGAACATAATTCGCATTATTGGAAACATGGCTTTGGATGAACGTCTTCATTCATCCATAGTACGTGCAGGTAAAAGGAAAGCGAGTGCAAGCAGTCTGAATTTCAGATTTCTACTCTAAAATTTTCAGAGGATTCAGTGCTTTTGTAAAACACAACGGACCATGGCAGTGGTGGGTTTTTTTTATATTTGGGGGGGTGGGGAGGTGTTGTAGTTGTGTGTTTGTTGTTTTTTTTTTTAAATACAAAAAATATAGACAGTGTAAACTGTGTTGATTAAAAACTCCTGTATGCTGTCTGGCCAATATATGTCAGTGCTACAGAGGTGCTCTAAGTCTGATGGATGGTGAAAATTTGGACTTGGTTGATGTTCGGTTCACATTACTGGCAAAAATCTTTTGAGTTTCCTACTTTTACAGGTCATCTACCTTGTAGATTTTTTGTTTTTTTTTAATTGACTGTGTTTTAGTCTTGTAAAGGAACAGACCAGCTTGCAGTCCTTACCTTTTGGAATAAAATGAAACATGCCTTCCTGCCCTCTCTTGTTTCATGTTAGGCTAGTAACTTCTGCTAAGCTTTGCTCTGGTGCCCCTTTTTTTATACCCCCTAAATATCACAATGAAATGATTCTTTCTAGTTCTGTACCACATAAATAATTCCCAATGTTTTATTAGGAAAGAAATCAGAAGAAAAATAGAAAATATCAATATGCCCTTGCATACGTCCGAGCTGGTGTCTGCCTCTTAAACACAGCGTGCGTTTTTAATCTCCCTGTTGTAAAAAGGAGAAGTAACAAAGGCACAGGGAAGGACTGTGAGGGTGATAAAAAATTGGAATGGCTGTGGTAGAAAGAACAAAGGTACTTGCATTTAAACAAGACTCACGTGTCAATTCTTTCTTTTCCTAATTCCACAATGAATTATTTTGAATTAGCAACATACTGGCTATCCTAATAACATACTGTGCATGATTTTGAAACAGTGCTTATTAAGTAAATTGTTTCTTCTTTTTCAAATCAGCCTCCATTTGAAAATCTCTCTTCAAAGTCTTCCTGGGTTTTATATATGAACTTGACTTTAATGTAATTGTGATTTATAGACCACTCTTGCTAGCAGCAACAACAGTTATCAGGATTTTAAAGAAATTTATGTGTCTGTGTGTGTATAAAAGATAGTCCTTTGCATTTCTCAGTAGTCTATGAACATCCTCATCCATGTCTAAGAAACTATATTTTACACCATAGTTAAAGTATTATAAAGTGTCTGGTTTTTTCTTGAGGTAGCTCTGACTTAAAATTTTATTGAGGAGTGTGTTCAAAGGTTTCCTGCATTAATTCTATGTTTTTTAAGTATAAATAGTATACTATTTTTAGAATAGAGAGAATGTTTTCATTCCTTTAGACAGTTTTTTACACACTGGATTTTATAATCAGAAATGATTGTACTCTCGCAGCAAGCATCAATTTTTCCACCTGCCATTGATCCCATGGGTTGTTTCCTATGTCTTTCGTATGCTTTAAGCTTCATTTTCTCTCTGGGACATTTCTTTTCTCTGTCTTTCTTGCATCTTACCTGCAAAAAGAGGCTCGAGATCTGTTCTCTTACTGACAGCTGCACTGACCTGCTGATACACTCTCTTTCTCTTCTGAGAAGTTCTCCTTCCAATCATAAGCCAAACAGTAGTAAAATACGTTGCCTCACCACCACTCTGGATTTTTGCATTTTGGAGGTTCCACCACCTACCATTGGCTTTCCTGTGGTAGAGAGAGTGGATTGAGATAATTTGTTTTGATATTACCATTCTTAAGTTTTAACATCTATTTTCACAAGTATACTTTGAAGGATGATGTTTCTGAATTCTTTTGGATGATGTTTCTAATTAGTTAACCTGCCACTTTATTTTTTTCAATGTAGGTTGGGTTTCTGTACTTGCTGAAGTAATGAAATCCCCACATATCATTCAGTCTTCTCATGCATCCAGAGCTTTGGCTAATCTAGACAGGGACACAGTGAAAGAAAAGTATCCAGATGGTGTTTATGTCTTGCATCCACAATATCGTAGCAGGTAAAGCAGGAGATATTGTACACGCTGTGCTTTGAGTTACTTGTTATACTGTTCAGGTACAAAACTTTGTAAGAGTTGGCGTTAGAGTGCTGCTGTACTTGCGTCACCTGCTCCTCCTGTTCTTTAGTGGGTTGAGAGGACTGAATTTAGATTCTCAAATAGGAGAACAACAGAAATGATGGGAGCAGTCCATAGCCATGAAAGGAGTATTATTGTACTGCATGGAAAAATCCAAACAGAAACCATGAGATGAATTATTGCTTTGCATGCATTGCAACCGTTTGACCTTTGCACTGGCTGTCTTGGGATACAGTGCCTTGTAATAATTCTGTTGCCAGCAGCACGTGTTGGCCTAAGATGCAGCAAATTTACAGCTGCAGCTTCTTTTAATAGTGATTGTGTATCTGGGACTGAAGCAGCCTCCAAAGTGGTATGTCATTTAGTAGCAACTATTCCCTGGGTCACTGGTGTTAGTCAGGTTACAGTGAAGATCTAATTTGATGATAAAGCTGGAACTGTCAAGCTGCATTAACAGTAGCTGGAGAGAGTGGTGTTTTTCATTATAGAAAAATGTGACTTGTGAGGTGGGTACTTTCCATACCTCTTTTTATATCTCTTCTGGGTGGATCCCTGTTTTTTGTCTTGATCTGAATATTGTCTCTGAAATATCATGAAATGTTGCCCATAAGATAAGAAATCACATATAGTGTTAAAAATAGCATTTTGGCATCCCTTAGATTAAAAGTTCTGTGTGAATTTAATTTGCTAAAAGAATATGTACGATGCACCTCTTAAAAATACCTTTTTCTGTATCAGTCAGCCCATCAGAGCAGACATCCTTTTTGTTCATGGGCTTCTGGGAGCAGCATTTAAAACCTGGCGACAGCAAGATATTGACCGGCATTTGGATAAAAAGGCTTTAGAAGGGGAAGAGGACTATAGTCAGTGCTGGCCAAAGGTAAAAAGACAATAACACTTTCACATGCGGCTGCTGTGTTCTCATTAATGAGAGCTGTCCAGAGGATTTGGAATTACACTGTCTTGCAGTTGTCTCTTTTGAATCAAATGACTTGTAATCTGTTATACAAGTAGCACTTTCCAAGTTCCTGATATATTTTTGTTAGCAAGCTGAAATTCTGAACAGGTTCTTCTTGCAAAGGAAAAGCCCTGCTAAATTTAATGCTCTCACCATCATTCTCCTGCTAGTGAAAGAGGAGGCAATGGCTACTTCCCTCTTTTTTTTTTTTTTTTTTTTTTCTTTTTATGGAATGTTATTGCTGAGGAAAAGATACTTAATTTAAAATGTAATTTCATGTATCCTTTCTTACATAGGTGTCTGAGTACCTTAATTTTTGCAGATTGCTACTTAAATATTGTTGGTAAATAAGTAATTACTGCTTCAGGCAACTCACATTGGTATAACCACCTAAGTATCTCTGTAAAACTTGCTGATATGTCCTGTTGGTAATCTTGGTGATTCTTGTTTCATCCAGGAGAGGGAGCCAGCAATGCACGAGTTAGTAATCCATCCCTTACCTACTCTGTGGCTGGGGAACAGGCTAGAGTTTGCCAGTGTGTAATAAAAGAATAATAGTCTAGGTGTAAGATGTATTTGGGGATTAACTGAAGAGCAGAAGTCTTGCTTGATATTGTCCCCATAGCAGCATCTTTGCTCCATGGCTGATAAATTGCTTGCAAGAGTTTAAGTACTTCAATTATAAGCTCCTTTTGGTTTCGCTTTTCTTTAATTTAGACGTGGCTGGCTTCAGACTGTCCTGCCCTTAGAATCATATCTGTGGAATATGACACCCATTTGAGTGACTGGAAAGCAAAATGTCCTGTTGAGGCTCACAGGTAACAAATGAGTGTCCGCAGTTTGGAGTGGGGACAGGAGGGAGACCTGTAAAGCTGATCCTTGGAATCACCTAGTGTGATACAGTGAATTTAACTTTTCCTGTTGCATTTGAAAATCAAGTTTGAAAAAACATAAGGTACAGTCATAGTATGCTTGAGCTTTTTAGCCTCATGGCTAATGACTTGTGGCAACTTCCTAAATTCTTACAGTCTGTTCTGCTTCATATTTAGGGGAGACACTAAATTATGCTATTAGTTGATGTAATATAACATCAATTTTATATCTTGAGGGGAATACTTCTTAAACTTAAAATGACCCAATAATGCTTCATAAGCACAGCAAAAAAATCACTGTACTATGGCTTTATTTTCATGATAAAATGAAGCATATAACTTTATTCAGGAAGTGTTAATCCCTGGAAAGAGATTGATATAAGTGTTTGATAGATAAAATACAGCAACTGTATCTGGTTTGGTCAGATAGTGTAATTGCCCTTGTCAGAGGAATTGTGTTTTTAGTGACCATGAACTGGGTAGGTAAGAGGAAGATGCTACCTCCAAACATATTCCTTCTAAAAAATAAAAATACTTTGAGTCTGTAAAGGTTATTTGGCTTGAATGGATTTTAGGCTTCGCAGTTGAGTTCAGTGATCTTTAAATCAGATCCTAATCTGAGTCCTTCAAACACTCGTGCAGATACTTAAGCATATAACCAGTACTGTAGCTTCAACCTGTGTACTTCAGTGAAGGCATGTGCATGACTGCTCACAGGTTAAGAATCCGAAAATTGATTATGTTTTGTGTAGGGGAGAAAAAAATTCAGCACGTGTGTAATAGACTGGGAACTTGGTACTTGTTCATTCCCTCCTCCCTATGGATATATGAAGGATCAATGCAATTATTGCATTAAAGAAAGCATGTAAGCAGGGAAAAAATAAGGAAGATACGGCTGTTAATATGCCTATTTGAAATTAGGCAGAATAATGACAATAAAAAACACGTAGGTGGTTACCTCTCCAAGGTCCAAAGATGACTGGACCTTGTAGAGGGACCTTGTACCTTGTTTCACATCCAAAGAAGAGCAACGAGGCTGGTGAGGGGTCTAGAGCACAAGTCTTATGAGGAGCAGCTGAGGGAACTGGCGGTTTAGTCTAGAAAAAAGGAGGCTCAGGAGAGACCTTATCGCTCTCTACAACTACCTGAAAGGAGGTTGCAGCAAGGTGGGGGTTGGTCTGTTCTCCCAGGTAACAAGCAATAGGACAAGAGGAAATGGTCTTAAGTTGCGCCAGGGGGAAGTTTAGGTCGGATATTAGGAAAAACTTCTTCACCGAAAGGATTGTCGAGCACTGGAACAGGCTGCCCAGGGAAGTGGTTGAGTCCCCATCCCTGGAGGTATTGAAAAGACGGGTAGATGTGGTGCTCGAGGACATGGTTTAGTGATGGACTTGGCAGTGCTAGGTTAACGGCTGGGCTTGATGATCTTAAGGGTCTTTTCCAACCTAAATGATTCTGTGATTCTAAGAGAACTTTTTTCCTGTGTCCATCTGGATTAAGTATAATGGAAGAAAATTTGAAAAAGAAATAAACATAGATTTCTTTCTTTATTTTAAGATAATGGCTTTTTCATTGCAAAATGGAAAATTACATTACCTGCTATTTATGGTCACCCAAGCATAGTATTTTATTTTTTTATAATTTGATATGGTTAATAAAAAAAATGAAAGATATTGAAGATATTTTTAACTAGCAGGAACAAAGATGTAGCAGTAGAATCACAACCTTATGATTGCTCTGAGTGTATAGGCTCATTTGCTATTTCAAAAGTGAATTTTTATGTCTCTCAGCTCTCCTAAAGCCTGTTGTGCGGCTGAAAAGACCCATTTGAGTATCCTTTTCATATGTGTTATAAAAGCAATTTCTAGTGAGAATGCTGAGAACCAATGGAGGTGAAGTGAATTACTTTGCACAGCAGTTGCCCCAGTACCCTGATGTTTTCATTATCCCAGGGTCTTCTATGTTTGATTCTTGTTACACTGCAAGGAGTAATGATGTTGCACTTTCAAGCTTGGATTAGGAATTGACATTGGTTTGGTTTTGGTTGTGCCAAAGATTCATTTTCAACCTCTAACATGTACCTTATCCTTTCCAGAGCTCGGTCTCTTCGTTTATAAAGTGGAGATTATTGTGCTTTTATATTTTTATATATATATTCCAGTACAAAGCATTTGGAGATTATTGTCTGGAAAGTATAACAGACATTATCTCTGATTCTTTAATGTATTGATTGATCATGCACTTGGTTATTAAATTCCTGTACCTTGCTCCACATTTTCAGCATTGTTTAGCAAAGTACATTTTTGTCAGACATTAGGTATATTCTTGTTTTAGGGGATAAAGTTTATTATGCATTGATGATGCTTCATAAAATGAAAACATAATTTTGTTACAATGTGTAAATGAAGTTATCTAAAACTCCATAAAGAGATTTATCGAACTAAAGCTAAAGGAAATGAGTGTTGAGTGAAATTAAAATAAAATTTTCTAGCAAGACCAAGAAACAATTTAGCTCAATTTCTGTTGTCCTTGTGAAGCCAACCTTGCAAAAGTTTTTGGCATTTTTCAAAGTAGCAACAATAATTAAGTAATTAATGTTTTATGTACCTAATTCACTTTCATAAATGCGCAGCACTGAAAGTTCATTCTGTTTTAACATTCCCTTTTAAACTATCAGGCTTCATCATGCTTGCATTTGTTTTTTTGCAGGAAGTCTATTGCTTACAGGAGCAATGAGCTTCTTGACAAGCTCAGAGCTGCTGGGATTGGAGACAGACCTCTGGTGTGGGTGTCACATAGCATGGGTGGTAAGCATATTGCCCATCTGATATAAAGTATTTATTTGCTGTTTTATTTCAGAATAAGCTGTTATCTGAAATGCAGTTATCTGGAATAGTTTATCTAAACAATTTGCAAAGTCCTAAAAATGGAAAATAGATTTCTACTTTCTCAAATGCATTATATTCAACAGCATATACATTTTGAAAGGATTTTTATTGCTGTTTGGTTTTACTGTATTGATTTAAAAACACAAAATCAATGAGTTGAAATTCATGTAAATGGGAATCCAGAGGCAAAATTTTCTCCATGATGAGGCATATAGTAAATGTCATTAGCAGCACTTAAAGCAAACCAAAATTGGATTTGCATCATTCCTTGACATTTTATTTTAATGCTTCCTTAGGTTTGGTTGGGGTTTTTTCAACTTAATCTTACATATTTGACAAACTAAGGACCAATCAACTGAGGCAAGAATATGGCTAGTTGTTTCATGGATAATATAGCATGATCGTTATTTTCACAGTGGTTTAAATCCCTGCATTAATTCAGTTTCTGTTGCCAGGTCTTCTAGTCAAAAAGATGCTGGTGGATGCTTCCAAGAATCCAGAAATGGATAAAATTGTAAACAACACCAGAGGAATCATATTTTATAGCGTACCTCACCATGGTTCCCAGCTGGCTGAATATTCTATAAATGCCAGATATCTTCTCTTTCCGTCTGTGGAGGTTAAAGAACTCAGCAAGGGTACGCTCACTTTGCTACCATTTAACAGCGGGGATCTATGCTAATCTGTTCATGATGCTTTTTTTTTATCCTGCTGTCAGAAAAAGCTGGATAAAAGCAACAAACCCCCTTTTTATGTTTTGGGTTGTATGTTGAATTACTGTAACTAATTCTGAGTAACTGTTTCATTTGATTGCAGAGGCGAGGGGGGGAAAAAAAGGGGTCAGAACAAGTTTATAGCAGAGTAGTTTGGGCCATTTAGTAAAGTAGTAACTCAACATGTGCTGGACTTTAGACTCTTACCTTCGAAACAAATTCTGTGCTATGCAGAAATAAGCAATTGTTGCATAGGATAGCTGGAAAAAGGGACTACAAACGAAATGCTACTCCTTTTACCAGAGTATCAATTTTTCAAAAACATTTATTCAGGAACGCAATCTTGCCAGACAAATGCTGTAATCTTATGTTCAAGGTAACGCTGCAAAAGTTATGTTGCTCTTTCTCAGATTCCCCTGCCCTTAAAGAGCTGAATGATGACTTCCTGTCTTTTGCCAAAGATAAGAAATTTTCAGTGCTGAGTTTTGCAGAAACCTTACCAACGCACATAGGCAGCATGATAAAACTGCACGTCGTACCTCTGGAATCAGCAGGTAAGTCAAATAGCCATTTAATTTATTTAACTTTTGTATATATTCATGTGAGCATCAATAATGAGGAAGGATTATAAATGCTATGGTAGAAAGACTTAGAAAAATACATCTGTTATGTTGTGGGGGTTTTTGTTTAAACTTTTGGCTGAGTTTAAACTAGAGTCTCCCTGCTGAGATCAGAGGCAGCTACATTTATATCTTAGAATAGCAATTGTTTGTTTTGATTTTTCTAAATGCAAGTAGCACTTGCTTACTGAAAAAAGCAGGGTAGACCCTGGTCTAATGTTACATTGTTGTAGTCTTTTCCTTTGTAATTATGAGTAACTGTTGTTTATCCTTGTGTAGGTAGGCTGAATAGTGTTTCAGAAGCTCCGGCAAATTCCAGCTATTTCCTCCTTTAAAAAATAAGAAAGAAAATTAGTAAACTGCTAATGGAAGGAAAAGGTCACAAAGCTGTTTGTCAGTGTTAAGAATCCTTTATCTTCCATATCTCAGGTACTCAAGCAATAGAGTTTGCCTCCTGAAGAGTTCCTTCCATCCTTTTGTAGGAGAAGGGAAAACCAGACAGTTCTTCCTCTTGCTTTGTTTATAGGTATTCAACTTAGAGAATTGTTTTAAGTCTGATATTTTCAGGTTTTCCCTGAGCAAAACCCTCTTCTGCACTGCCCAAGGTACCTGTAAGGCCTTGAACAGAAACCAATGCTTTGTTGGGTTTAGATCAGGCTTTCCACCAGCTAAATCCACTAGGTTAAATGCAAGGTTAGTTGCTTTGAAAAAGACAGACTATACATCCCTGTTTTCCTGAGTCAATATTTAGCAGTATTTTTTCAGTGTGTCTTCTCAAGAAGCAGTTGTTTGCAAAAATGTCGCTGATGCAATTTTATTGGTGAGGACTGAAAAACTGGGCATTCTTTTTTTTTTGATTTAACAAAATAAAGTGAAGAGGAGGGCTGGATAACAGAGGGCACAAATAAGCACTGTGCACTTACAATTTTGTAGCACGTTTTTCCTCTTCTAGAGATGATGCACAATGCAGCACCTAAGCTCTCGAATGCCTTTAAAGGCTACGTGACAGTTCAGTGGCACGCCACTCATTTTGTTCAAAACCCAGGGTGACAAGCAGTACACTCACTGTTTCTTACATGCATGTTTGGGCACATGAAAGCAAACTTTATCCTGCTCTAGTGTAATTTTACATGGTTAAAGATACAGAATTCCAAGCAAAATGGAGGATTTCTCAGGAGGTTGAGTGAATAGATAATAAACTGGAATGTGGCAGTCACAGCATCCTAACTGGAAAGTTCACTAGTAGTGATAGCTGTCAGGAAAGAATAAATGCTGTAGTGTGCCCCAAAATCAGTGCCTGAAATGGAATACGTGTATTCTACAATTAAGCAATGTAAATTTTTCATTTCCCTGGAAGTGTATGTAGTGATTTGTGGCATATTTCAGGTCCGTTCTAGTCCCATTTTTAATCTCCACATTGAAGTATTTTATAAGGAATATGGGCAGTTAGTGGTGATCAGAATCTGGATACCCTGGATTAAACCCTATCCCTGTTCATGTCAATGCTTAAACTTCAGTCAGGACTTTGCTGTCAGTCAGGTGCTGGTAAATGAAGTTTCGATTCTTCAGAGTTGTCTGTATAGAGAAATGTACATTTGTGTATTCCCAATAAAGATAGTAGAACTCTGACCTAATGGTTTACCAGTGTGGGTTTTGTAGAAACATATAACTCTATATGACTATAACAGTGTGTATTGAAGCTTTTAGCACATTAAAAAATAATGAAGACAAAACAGTTAAACTGAAGACACGAGAAGTTGTTTTTGAGAGAAAAATTAGTAATGCAAGATGTGCTTTTCAGTCTAGGTGATCTTATGAACTTTGGTAGTTTTTTCTTATATATATTTTTTTTTTTCTTTTATATATATATATATATTTATTTATTTATTTCCCCCCCCCCTCTCCCAGAGTTAGGATTTAGTGACCTTTTTCCAGTGGGTGTTAATCCTT